GAGGTGCGGGAGATGTGAGCGGAGGGACTGAACCCAGGTGACGGGAAGGAGATAAAGGAGATGTTGTAATTGTTGCTGATGATAATGGTGAGAAAGTAAGTTGAAGTGAAAGAGCGCGAGGAAAGGGAAAATAGAACGACTATGTGCGTACCATGTATATTGGTTGGCAACAAGGTGACCTCGCTGTCAGATGTCGCCCTAGGCGAATGAACAGGCATGTGAACCACTGCGCGACTGGTCAGACCAAGAAGAGAAGAGAAGATAGGCGGATACAAGGAAAGAGGGAGGGGAGAGGGGAGAGAAGAAGGAGGGAAGCGGGAGGGAAGAGGAGGAGATGGTAGTAGGAAGGAGAGATGGGGGGGAACCACAAATAGAGGGGGGTATTTGGGCAAATGTTGACAGGGGCAAACGCGATCGATCGCGTCGTTGTTTACTCGAGTGATAGTAGGAATGTATGGTGTTGAGACTTTGCTAGTAGTGCAGGAATGCGTGGTTTTGAAACCAGGCTGTTCGTCAGACAGAGACTGTCGATCAGGCGTGTCTCCGATTACAGGACGCTCCCCGGGATGAGCACCCGTGGCATCCTGGCATGTTGGCTTTCTTAGACGGCGCACACGACAGACCAGAATGGAGGGATACTAGGTATATTACAAGTTCGAGACAGCCAGACACGACGGAGTTGAGCAGGAGGCCATTTGCGTGTCTAGGAGACAAGGGACGGCGTCCCTGACATGTGATTATGCATTCCTCATCATCATCGCTCTCTCATCCTCCCAGCCTCGTCTTCAATCACCTTGGCACGCTGTCCCCAAAAGGACACCCCGACACCCCATATAATCGTCAGTCCTAGCGCCCATTTAAACGGCCCGGAACTCGCCTCGGAGTATCTGTGTCTCTCGGCTCCGGGCCCCACGCGAGGGTAAGACGCACGTGCTTCCTCCTCCGGATGTCTTGTGGCCGATGTTCGACTCACAACTCAATTGCTCGATGAAGCCACAAATACCCCATATGAGCACTAGTCGGGGCTAGTAGTGTTCAGAGCTCAGTCCCGGCCGGATGCCGATCCTCTGCTAACTACCGGTGGTGCACTTTTGGTCGGGCGCCGAATGGAGCACGAGGGAAGGACGAAGAACGTGCGCTGGCGAGAACCGACATGCAACTCTCTTCTTCTGTGCTCTCGGGATGCTTAAATGCAGCTGCTAGCATGATCTCAATCTTCAGGCACGTCAACCTAAGAGGATGAAGACCATTCTGTTCTCTGCTGTCTGGCTCTGCGCTGCTGCCGCGCTCGCGAGCGCATTCAACCCCCTGCACCATTCTGGTCCTGCAGCACCATACTTCGACGCTCCATCCCAAGCCGGCATCCCCAAGGAGATCCCAGAGGGGTGCGTCGTCGACCAAGCTGCCTACATAGTCCGGCATGGCGCGTGAGTCCCCCATTCCCCCCGTTCCTACCAAACTAACGCGCCTACCAAACTAACGCGGGGCAGGCGATACCCCGAACCCGGGTCCTACACCGGCTGGATAAGCCTCTACAACAATCTCCAAAACTCTTCCACGCCATACAACGTCTCCGGTCCTCTGGCATTTCTCAAGACCTGGGTCCCTCCGGTAGACGACCCGGCGCACATGCCGCTCTATCTCTCCGGAGTCGGGGCACTCGAGTCCTTCCAGCTAGGCGTGCTGCTGCGAAACAAGTACAAGTTCACTCCCGGAGGGGGAAACCTCACTGTCTGGAGCGCGGGGCAGGAACGTGTGCTCGCTACTGCCGCTAACTTCCTGCGTGGGTACCTCGCCCAGGGGTCGTACGTCAACAACGCTACCCTCAACAGGGGGAGCATCGTCTCCATGCCCGACAGTGTGAACTGGACAAGCGCAGACAGCCTCACATTCACCAACGGCTGCCCGAACTACTCCAAAGGGGACAAAAGCGGCCCAATGAAGAGCGCTTGGAGCGCCCTCTGGCAGCCTCGCGTCGCGGCGAGGCTGAATAGCTTGTACGTCACTGGCAATTTGAGCTTTACGGGGAGCGACGTTAGCGTCATGGGCGATCTATGCGGTTTCTCAGCAGGAGTGGACGGCGACACCCGGTTCTGCGATATCTTTACCCGTAAGTCCCCCCTCTTCCCCATCTTCACACCTAACTTACTGACATATGCAGCTTCGGAGTGGCTCGACTACGAATACGGCAACGACCTGAATTACTACTACGGCTCCGGCCCCGGAAACCCATTTGCAGGCACCTCGGCCTGGCCGCTCGTCAAGTCCATCTCCGACCTGCTGGTCGCCGGTCCCGGTAAGACACTCGCGCCGGGGACGTTCACCCCTTCGCCGCTAATCATGAGCTTTACTGTACGTCTCTCCTCTCCCCTCTTGCAGGCCTGCTAACCTACCGTGGCAGCACGACAACGACCTCCCGCCGGTGATCGCCGCTCTCGGACTATGGAACTCTACCGTGGGCGTCTACCCTTTGTCTAACAGCACCCGTTCCCCGGACAGAGACTTCCGTTCTTCATACCTCGTCTCCTTCCGGGGATACGTCGCCTTAGAACGCCTGAACTGCTCCTCTCCCTCCGCTTCCTCCAGGAAAGGCACATACGTCCGCGTGCAAGCGAACAGCGCCCCTATCCCCATCCCCGGCTGCACCTCCGGGCCAGGATCGTCCTGCCCTCTGGATGAGTTCTCAGCCTACGTCCAGGCACGCCAAGCCGTTGTGGGGGAATTCGTGAGCACGTGTAACAATACTGCGGCGAATGCGACCCAGGGTGCGGTGGTGGACTTCTTTATGAATGAGGATTGGGAGGGGAGTATGAGTCGGGGACAGAGGATTTTGCTCGGGGTGGGGGATCTGGTGGGGCTTGGAAGCTAGATGGGTGTTTGAGATAGAGGGATAGAGGGATGAAAGATGGGTTGAAAGGCCAAAGTATCTTGGCATACATAATGACTCACGTCTCGCTTTTTGGTGATTGCTCCTGTCACGCATCTGTCTGAAACGAGCTTGAGAGTTGAGACAGATCGTCCTTTTATGACAGCGAGGAGGAGATGTAAAGGTAGAGAGGAGTGACTTGCCTGTTCGTTCACCAAAGCTTTTCTGGGGGAATCAATGTCTAATCCATCAAAAGGTATAATCACATGCCAGGGGCTGTTCCGGGTTCCGGCCACGAGCTCGCTGACTCGCTGCCCGACGACGACTCTGTTGGTCAGGTTGGGCGTCGCACCTGCTCCACTGTACCCTCTCTACCTGCCTTCCCAATTACCTTCGAGACTGGTCTGTATTTGACGTCTCTGGAGGTGAAGGTAGCGGAGTGCTTGAAATCAAGAGGGCCGCGTAATCGGTGTTCAGAGTGAGGCAGACGCAAGCTCGCCTAGCGTCTTTCCTCAACCACCGAAGTCAACTTGAACAACCCATTTCTGCTGAACTAACAAGGAGCATCAACGTTATCTGTTCCGAACCGATCAATCGTATCAGCCGAGCACTCCTATCACCACTCAGTCAAATACCCCTCGCACGCCTCCTATCACTCTCATTCCTCTCACACCATGATGCACCTCCTCCTGCTCCTTACCTCCCTCATTGTCGTACGGGCATCGCAGCCAGGAGCGACACAAAGCAGCGCTTGGCCTGCTCGTCCACTCGTTTGGGGCGATGTGAACTTCCTGTTCACGACTGATACGCATGGTACGCCTTGTCACCCCATCACCCACACCCACTCTCCGTTCCTTCACCTACATGTCTCACATATCCTATTGCTGTCCCCCGCTTCCGATACTGACTATGATACAGGATGGCTGATGGGACACACTAAATCTGGTCCTCCCGAACCGAACTACAGTGCCGACTTTGGCGACTTCCTCTCCTTCACGACGCACATGAAATCCCTCGCTGCGGAGAAAGGCGTCGACCTCCTCTTGATCGATTCTGGTGCGCACCTTAAGTGCATCCTGCTTATCTTTTGCTGATTGTGTATTCTGGGTAGGGGACTTGCATGATGGCACTGGGCTGACGGACGGCGCTCCCCCCGGACAGCCGAATGCGCACGAGGTATGTAAGCTGCCCTCTGAAGGATAAGTACTGATTGTTTCAGTCTAACAAGTTTATTATGCGCTTGCCGTATGATGTGCTCACTCCTGGAAAGTGAGTGTTCTTCCCGCATATAGTTAGGTCTTACAATATTGACTGTGCTCCAGTCATGAGCTATATCAGTGTCTGAGTCACCTTTGCGCCATAAAGCTGTTGTCTAATGACCCCCGCAGATGCGAGCGCCCTGGACACGTACAAGAGCTTCGTACCCCACTGGTCTGGAAAATATATCTCCTCCAACGTCCACCTCACTCTGCCTAACACGACCAATTTGATCCCTTTCGGTTCCCCTTATCGCAAGTTCTTGACTACCCAAGGGCGACGCGTCACCGCATTTGGTGTCTTGTTCCACTTCACTATGAACGCTCGCGGTACGCAAGTCCAAAGCGTCGAAGAGCTGGTCGAACAGCCATGGTTCGCGCAAGCGGTAGAAGAAGAGCCAGACATGTTCGTGGTAGCCGGCCATATGCCCGTGCATATGGAAGAAGACCCGGAGGTGAACGTCAACGATTGGCCGATAGTGTACTATGCTATTCGGCAAAGACATCCGGAGACGGCAATATTCATTTTTGGGGGACATTCGCATAAGCGGAACTGTACGGTCATGGATGAGGTGAGCACTGCAACTGGATGTGATGAACTGGACTTAACCACTGTGTAGCACGCGATTGCCATCCAGGGAGGAAGGTATATGGAGACTGTTGGCTGGTTGAGCGCCAACCTGACTGAAGGTGGAGGGTACACGCGCCGCTACCTAGATACGAACCGGAACACCTATCAGGTCGGTGTTCACCCTCTTGCTCAGCGTGTTGCTCATTGTTCTTATTGTAGTATCACACCGGCACGGATGAGGAGGACTTTGACACCCTTGAGGGAATTGAACTTACGCAATATATCACCCAGCTGGCGGATGTGTGGAACTTGCATGAAGTGTTTGGGTATGCGCCACAGGACTGGTATCTAGACAGGCAGGTCCTGCACCACTCCCGTTCACGCATATGCTAAGTCAAGCCAGGGTGGAATTCCCGCACAAGAACTCGGTTCTCACGCTATTCTTGAACGACGTCCTGCCCACTGTTTTGCGACTTGGTGCTCCTGAACGATCCAACATCCCCCTGTTGGCGATCTTCAACCGCGGCAGCATACGGTCAGTGTCTTCCCCTCGTTGTACATCATACCCTGCTGACTCGATTTAGGTACGATATCTATCAGGGACCGTTTACGAGAAACGATCAGTACACGGTTATGCCGTTCAAGAATCAGTTCTTCTATGTCACCGTACCCTGGGCAGTCGGCCGGCGCGTGGTGGATGAAGCAAACAAGAAACGAGAAGACCAGGCACGGCTGCGTGATGCAATGAGGATGGCAATGCCTTCCCTCCCCCAGCCTTCGGAGGTGCCGTTCCCGCTTCCTGGGGCGCAGACGGTACTGGGAGGTCCGAAGGAGCCTAAGGAAGACGAACCCCTCACCCTGGGCTACGTGACGCAAGATGTGGGGTTCTTCCCTTACTGCCTCTTCGTTGACACTGACGATCTCTAGCTCTGCGAAGGCTACGCCGACGACACTCCCCACCTCTCAATCGGCGGTCTCGACAGAGCAGACGATTTCCACAGTTCCCCTCCTCTCCCCATTTCAGACGATACGCTTATGGACGTCGTCTTCCCCAGTTTCGTTGCACAACCCATAGTGGACGCGCTGAATCGTCTCTTCCCAGGGCAGAACTACACCGTCGCGGGGCTGGAGAAGTACATGAAGTGGGGGAGTGAGGATGTGTTTGAGGTGTATGCGAGGGAGAAGTGGAATTAAGGCCGAGAATTTCATGGGGGTCTGGCGCAGTTGTATAGTAAGGATTCATACCATCAAATATGCGATACCCCTGCTTCTGGTCCGTGTGCCCGGAGATGTGTGTGTATCCCGGACCTGACTTCTTGGACGAACAAAAGGAGAACTCGTCCAGCTGTACCAATTAATGCGTGTGGATTCCGCTCCCTACTGTGACAGCAGCGTTAAGGCTTTGATTTCTTCGATTCGTCTATACAAGTATAATAGTGTGGAAACAACCGACCACGATCAACTAAACTTGTCACAGGGCAAAACAAGAAAAGGCACGGATTGTTAAAACTGGGTGTAGACAGACCCGGGAAGAATCCAAGAGGGGATGACTTAGATTCACAACGAAGCAACTCTTATCTGGAAGATGAGCCTTCCTGATGGTTGACGCGATCTTGACAACGTTCAATATCGCGTATGACAACGCTTCTGTCATGGCTTCAACATCATAACTGTCGTTCGTATATCCAAGCAAAAGTCATGAAATGAAAAAAGGAATCGCGAGCGACATGAAAGGTCGTAAGGAATCGCAATGCGGTAGGGGTAGTAAAACATGATGGGAATAAATGAATGCATGTGCAAGGCAGGCCAAAATTGGGTCAATGAACTCAAGAAAATGCTCCACTCTAACCGACTTCCTTCATTCCTCATCCCTCCTGATCCGGCTCTCCAACTCTAAATGTGTCTCCCACAAATCCAAGTACACTATCATTTGTCAACCGACGTTTTCAAAGAAAAGAAGGAAGGATCTCACTAGATAGTGCCATCGGCACATCCCACCACCATCTCCTCATGATCAAGCGCGATGCTCATCGGGTTCTTTTCAGGCATAGCGAGTTCCTCGGATGAGGCTTGCCATATTCCCGTAATGGGGAGGATATCGTTTCCAGCTTGAGCAGGTTGTGAGCTGCCGCTTTCGGAATTTTGTTCCCCATCTAAGGGGGGCCGATGAGGGCTTTGGCCAGACTGTGTGGCCCGACAGGTTGAGACGAATATCTACGGTAGGTGATGTCAGCTCCTAACCTTGCACACGGAAGCCGAAACTAAGTCGCTTGGGAAAGAAGCGGCCGAGCAGATCCTCAAGCGAAATAAGACTCAATTCGGGCCATAGCACCAACTCAATCCAACTCTGGCAAGCGATGGCAAGTGAGCTCCGGCCGCCCTTGAAGCCCGCAACCCCACCCAAGAATGGCAAAATTGGTTACGCAAAAGAGGAATGGGGCCCAACCCAGCCTAGCGCGGCAACTAAAGGCCGAAATAAAGAATAAAAGAAAGATATCCAGAAAATGACTTACCCTCCTATCCGCCCCCGTCCGCGTCGAGAACCTCGTGCTGGTCACCACCCGTCCCTTGATAGGATCCACCGCTCCTACCGAGATATCCGGAGTGTCCGTAATGCTCACAATCCTTGGCAGCTTCCCTAGAGGGACGTCGAACGTCACGCTCCTCGGGGTCGATGCGGCCGAAGCGACAGACACACGGCCGAGGGAGGAGCGGCGGAGGGTGTCTGTGCGCTGGGGTGTGGCTACTCCGGGGGGGAAGCCGGGGGAAGGAAGGGGAGCGGAAACTTTTCGCTGAGTAGGGTGACGAGAAGCGAGTGGAGAGGGGAGGCCGGTTGTGCGGGAGGAATCTGAACCTTCTTCGGGCCATTCAAGTCGTAGGATAAGGGATTTCGTTGCGCACTGGAAACGGGTTAGCAACCGCAGGATGCGCTAGGGTAGCTGGGTAGGGAAGAAGACGTACTGTCATGTTCCTTCCTTTGGCTGCGAACCACCTAAATTCTATTAGCACTCGCCGGAGAAAGACCAAGAAAAGACGAACTGCAACGTATTTTGCCCTTGGCCCACTCCGCCCAGCCTGCCATCAGCAAGCAGGTTCAAACCCAGATCACTCAGCCTAAACTGGGACAACATCTCCCTCCTCGCTATACAACTCCCATCAGCTCAAGCGAAGTGGTTGTTACAAAAGTGAGCTCACGGATCGAAAACGTCCTAACAACTCCATCAACCGTCACCCCCACCACCCGATCCTCGCCCAACAACTGCACTCCAATATTCAGATTCGTCTGCTGTCCGAACCTCACTATCTTCGTCCCTGCACGCCAGTCCCAGCAAACGAGCGCTTTGTCCGCGCCGGCAGAGACGAGGTATGTGCTGTTGAGGGAGAGGGCACGAATGCCGTAGAGGTGGCCTTGGAGAGTTTGAAGGGGGGACCAGGTGAGGGAAGAGAATATCTGGACGCGGCTATCATGTGCTGTTAGACTGTGCACTTGACTGGTGAGGTACAGGCAGACGTACCCAACGTCGTGGAACCCAACGGCAAACACTTCCTCCTCCGCTAAGCTCTCCAAGCAGCTCACCGCCTTCACCTTCAGCTCCTTGACGACTTCCCCGCTCGTCAAGTCCCAAACCCGGACAGTCTCGTCATAGCTTCCCGAGAAGAGGCGCGTTCCCCGAAGGTGGAGGGTGGTGACGTATCCCGTATGACCGGGAAGGAGGCGCAGGGATTGTGCGAGCCCGAGGGACCAGTTCGACTCGCGGTGGTGCAGGCCACGGTAGAGAGGTTCCCTGGGATGCGCGGTTAGCAAATAAAAAAGAACTATGGGAGCACGCACCAGCCTGAGGGATTGGCAGGAGGACGGAGAGGCACAGGATCTGTAGCTGAGAGCCGCAGACAGTGACCCCTCCACAAAGCCGGATGATGTACTAACCCCTGCCATGTGTGGGAGACCGGTTCTACAGCCAAAAGCTCAGGCACGGACAAGTAAGCCAGGGTTTGAATTGCTAGTTCTTCGGGGAGGTTCCCGAGCACGTCAAATGTTGATTTGAGATATTTGTCTAGAAGTCGGATCATGCTGCTTATATCTCCTGGGAGGCAGGCTGCGCGAGCATACAGTTAGCAGAGTAGGACGAGTGAAGGGAAAGCTTACAGTCAAGAATGATATGTATCCTGGAAGACATTAGCACGCACTCAGAACGCAGAATAGAAACTTACAATCGCATCCTCTCCGCAGGTCTCAGAGTCCTCAAAGCACCTCTAACCTCGGAATCCCTTATACTGCCCTCCAAGCTCCCTCTCACAACCTGTGTCATATCCAGCGTCGCCTCAGGCGGACGCCTCACTCTTTCCCTCTCTAGTGCCCTCTCCGCTCTCTCCCTGTCAACTCTTTCCCTAGCCATCTCAAGCCGGAGGTTGCGCGACTCGGCTTGGAGGGCGTGGAGCTGACTTGCTGCACCTGTCTGACTTTGTTCTAGCAGTCGTTTGAGAGATCGTAGTTGCTTGGTATGCAGTGCCCCTACGCCCTGTAGGGACCTGATAAATTCCTCGTCCGGCGCATGCTCGTCAACCTCCGTGATCAGGTCGTCGTCCGAAGCCAAATCTTCCGTGGTGGCCCAAAAAGAAGCAGGAGAAGAGGAGAGTGAAGAGGGTGGAATAACGGGGCGCAGGGATGGGGAGGGTGTTTGGGAGGCATGCCGGTGAGGTGTGTGTGTGCTTTCGCTTGGTGGGGGAGGAGAGGGAGATGGGAGAACCTGGATCGCTGGGGCGGGGAGGGAATGCCGTTGTTGGGGAGGGGGACGGAAAGGTGTATGCGGTGACCTTACTGGCGGGGCTAGGAACTGTGAGTATTGGTAGCAGTGCATGGAGTAGGAGGTGTACCGTTCTTGAGTGCCTGGACACGGGGGGTGCCCCGCCCGTTCTGGGGAGGGGAAGGCCGCTGTACAGGCGGGGAAGGTAGAGATATGGGGGACATGACCGCTACTCCCCCTGCTGCTGCTGCTCCGGCATTGGCATTTACAGCTGCAGGACCGCCCGAGGGTCGACGAGTAGTGCTCACTGCCAGCGGACGTCGTCCTTGAGGTTGAGGAGCAGAGGGCCTTCTCGCAAGAGGTGACGGCGTCGCCATCCGTTCCTTGCAGGTATATACCTCTCTAGAGTATAAGAGCAAGAGGTGGTGGACGGGTGAAGAGCAGAGTGAGGTGAAGATCAAGGAGAAGGGAAGCCAGACGCGAGGCGGAAGCACCACACGCGTTAGACGCGTTGAAATTGCTCCGCATTGCGGCTCCGGCCAACCCATCAGTGCTTCTTGCGTGCAAATTTCAACTGGTACGAAGATCAACTGGTACGAAGAACTCGGTCCCACCATACGTTCCTACCATGTACTGGTCTTCCAGTTGAGAGGGGATCTTTGGGTATAACGCTCTTGACATAAAAGTGATAGTCATGAATTCCTCCGTAGAGCCTGTCCCCGCTGGCAAGGTGATAGGCAGAGTCACAGGCCTGGCACTCCTCATCCTCGCTGTGTTTTTCTACCGCCGATGTGTGGCCACAAATTTGGTAACCCCTTTCTCCCCTCAGATGAAAGACGAAGAAGATTCCGGAGGGTCGGGCGGCCAACACCAAAGGAGAAGAGCGCGATGGGCCTCTACGCCTAGCCTTCTCTTGCACACTACTCCTCACACCCCTCGCAACCCCCCAAGGTCCCCACGACAGCATCAGGCAGCCACCGGTCCAAAAACCTCACCTCCCCAAAAGCCGACCAGTCAACACTAAACGACGCCCTCGCCACCGCTGGCGTCGGGCCGAACGCATCTCCCGCTGCGTTATCACAGGATCCGGAGACCATGAGGGAGCTTCGGTTTTGGAAGTGTTGGCTGCGAGGATCACTCCGTATCGGCCCGGAGACGGACGGACGAATCCCCCGGGATACTGGGATACATGGGAGGAGTGACTTGTTGATTCCAGGAGTCCGACAGCAAGCGAGAACAAATTGGCAGCAGTTTATGAACATCCGAGATCGACATATGCCGAAACGCTTTTTCTATTTGCTGGTGAAAGCAATTCATGGAAATTATGAATGAGGTCTCGCAAGCGAAGTTGAGACCCCAGTTTCGGAGTTGTGTGTCAGCCCAGGGGTGACTCACTCCTCGGTGCTTCCCTATCGGCAGGATAGATCATGTACAACAATGCATCCAAGTCACGGGTCTTGCATGGGAACTTGAAACCCAGTTTCGGAGTTTTGTATCGGGATGACTCACTCCTGGGTGCATATATATCTGCATATTCACTAGCGTAGGCTCACGCGTCTCGCATGCAAAGTTGAGACCGGGTTTCGGAGTTGGATGTCTAGGGTACATATATGCATGTGTTCTCCCCCTATCAGCAGGATTGATGATGTCCAATAATGCATCCAACTCACCGGTCTTGCATCCGAGCATGAAACCACAGTTTCGGACTATGGTGTCGGGGTGCCTCGCTCCTAGGCTGTAAAAGGTATATATATGCATGCTTTCTCTTTTTTTGTGGACAAATTGCTCTTCCACTTCTATTCTTACTACCACCATGTTTACTTCTTCTGACGCTCAAACTTCAGCCTCCTCGCGCAGCGCTAAGATCGCCCGCCTGCAGGGTCATCCACCCAACGCACTGTCTGCCCCACTGCACCGAGATCCCCTCCCGCTTGACATACTCCCTCCGAGCCCTTCATGGGAGCGACGCTTCCCTTGCCTCTCCGATGAATCACTCTTCCTCAAGACCTGCCCTGGGTTCCTCTGCCCCGACCCGCTCTTCCCTGCCGAATATGCCTACGATGCTGCTCGCGCCCTGTCACGTCCTCTCAAATGCAAACCTTCTCGCCGCGCATGTGTTCCTCCCAGTCGGATGTGCCCCAAGCCTGATGCGGCGAAGGAGACCACCCGGGTGCAGCGAGTGTGCGCGTCAGTGAGAAAAAGAGCCTGTGCTGCTCGGCGCATGGCTCATCTTCTTCCTTAGGCATCCAGTCAGGTCGCGCATACTCGGGAGAATAAGGAAAACGTGCAACCAACGCCGGTGACACGAACCCGTAGACCTTCCCCCCTTTCCTCGCTTGATTCACTCGAAGTACTTGGTCATATGTCGCTGCCTCCAACGAACGTGGCGCAGGCCACCAAACAATACCCTTCTGCGATGAGCAGACGAGGACGCGAGCCGCTTTCAGAGATCACGTCTCTCGCCAACATATTCCCAAAAGCCACCTCAACCCCTGCATCTCATATGCCCCTCTGTGAAGGGAAAAGAGGCAACCATACCAAATCCGCGAGTTTGGGTAATGCGCCCTCCGCAATGATCGAGGTACCGCGCTCAGAGGCTATCATTGCTGCATTTGCTGGACGGGGGGCTATCGGAGATGATCTGCGTCGGG